TGCCAAGAGGGGGCGGGGATGTCCGAAGCTCAGGAGAAGCGCAATGCTGCGGGGGAGAGGCTCTGTCGGACATGCGCGGAAGAACGAGAGGAGGCGGTTTTGCGGTCGAATTACGAAGCAGGGAATCGCAAACGGCAGGCGGAGGCGGAAGCGAAGCCGCTGACGTGCGCGGCGTGCGGAGAGGCGTTCTCAGACGCGACACATTTGAAGCCTAATCAAGTGGCAGATCATCGAAAGGCGAAAGGAGCGAAAGTGGTGTGCGGAGGCTGCGCGGAACTCGGGTTCACAGCCCGCAGTTGCCAGGGGCTTCAGTGCAGCGGCGCGTGCAAGAGAAAACTGCCGAAGTCGGCGTTCGCCGTGAACCCTGCCCATGTCGCGCGCGATGCCAGAAAGGGCACCCTAAATTCAATTCTTGCAAATGATGCCCAATCGGGCGCGCGTGCTGGGGAGGAAAGGGGGGGGGGAGAGAGGGATGGGGGGTGAGGCGAGGGAGGAAGAAGAGGATATGGAGGAGGCGGAGGGGGAGGGGGAAGAGGAAAGAGACACGCAGACAGGGCGGTGTGGGCACCCCCGACGCGCACGCGCGCCGCCGTGACGTGCGGCGAGGGAGGGCGGCGACGGCGGCCTCCCTCCTCCCTCCGGCCCAAGGATGGCGCTCCAGGGAGGTATGGGCACCCCCGATTACGGACACGGCTTGCTCGGACACGACATGTCCCGCGGACAGGGTCGGCGGATGTCCCGCGCAATGTCCCGCGCCACGCCAAAAAACACACACCCTGTAGCGCGGCTTGTGCGGTGATTGCAGGGATCTCTTGGGGGGCTTTTCGCGGGGCTCTTGGAAGCAGGTTCGAAACCTCTTGGGGGCCGTTTTGGGGCCGTTTGGGGCTCTGTTGGTGGCCTTTTGGGGCTTTTTGGGGGCGTCTTGGGGGCCTCTTGGGGCTTCTTGGGGCCTTCTGGGGCCGTCTTGGAGCGGAAGGTTCGGATTCTCGGTTCAAGCTCCCCCTCTTGGGCCCCTCGTGGGGCCGTCTTGGGGCCCTTTTGGGCCGTCTTGGGGGCCTCTTGGGCCGTCTTGGCGCCCTCTTGGGCCGACTTGGGCGCCTCTTGGGGCTTCTTGGGCCGTCTGGGGGCGGTTTCGGGGCGCTCTTGGACCGTCTTCAACGCCGTGGGGGCCGACAGGTCGTATTTGATGAAGATGTACGTTTTCCCATAAGAATTTGATTTTCTGCTCTTCGGCCCTTCTGAGGACTGCTCTGGGAGACCTTGGGCCGTCTTGGAAGCCTCTTGGCTCTTTTTGGGGCCATGTTGGGCGTCTTGGAGCGCTCGTTTGGCGTCTCGGGGCCCTCGTGGGCCGTCTTGGAGGCGTCTTGGGGCCTTCTTGGCCCATCTTGAGCCCCTTTTGGGCCCAAAGCCCCGGTGGTGCGCTCGTCCCGGGCGAGGGGGGGGGGCCGTGGGGGGGGGGGGTCGAATCGCCGGTTTGGGGTCCCAGGGGTGGGACTATAGGGGGGGAACTATCTCACACGCCTGGAGACCCACAAGGGGTCGGCGGATATGTTTTGCTGTGTTTCGTTATTCTCTGGGAGGGCATGGATCACATTTACTCTAGCCGCCTTCCTACTTCATGTTTCTACCTGTTTCTTCCGACCGACGGGTGCACCCATCCGAAATATCAAGAGAAGGCCTGAATTTTCGTGGGCTCCGGATTTCGCTCAAGAGAATCAAGGATATGGGCTGGGCCCTGGGCGCGTGTAGACACGTCGCGCGAAGCATGCGTGCCGTCTTCCTGGACGCTGCGTGCGGGTAGACCTGCTTCTGCGGGACTCCCTTCCGTCCCGGCAGCTGGCAGGCGGCGCGCCGTGCAGCGAGGCTGCCTCGGCGGCAGTGCGAACCGCGCATGAAGGAGTCGGGGGATTGCAGGGTCTTGCGTTAAGTCGGGCCTGTCCCTCCTCAGGAGGAGTATTCAAAAATAGTCAAGAAATAGTATGGGGACGATTTGGTTAAAAGCATTTTTTTGGTGTGTGTGTGTGTGACCATTTTGGGGTATTTCTGGAGTATTTTTATTTTTTCGCCCCAAATCCGCCTGTGGACATGCCCGACCTAAGTCTTGCGTCCTCGCCGGCCGTTGCGTACTCTGGAGGCCTCCGCCACTCCGCCGGCACCAAGCCATCAGTTTGAGACTGTACGTTCTTACTCGGTCGTGTGTCGCTCAACATTGTCATCCCAAACCCTCGACAACCACCCTCTCTGTCTTCGATCGTTTCCCCCCTGGGGGTGTATCTTCCTTATTTGCCACGTGTAGTTGACCCAGGCCTTAAAACTTGTAAGTCCGCGGGCGCCAGGGTCTGCGAGACGGTCGGGTGCCAGTCAAGGCGAGCGGTGGGCTGCGCCGCGCCAGAAGCTAATGCAGGCGCGAAGAGGAAAAGCAAAAGACGAGAAAAAAGACAAAGGCGGAGCCTGATCAGACCATGTACTTCGGCGCGGGAGAGCCGGTGAAAGGCATGAAGCTGCGTGCCAGCAGCGGGTCACTCGAGATGAAAAGCTTTGCAGGGGCCGATGAACACCAGGATGTCTGGGGACAAGGGTGGCGTCGCAAGTTGCTCGGGAGAGCTGGACTTGAAGATGAAACTCTGGGTGCCAGACGGCTGGAAGTCGGGGTGCACACCGTTATAAACGGACGACGCTGGCAAAACTTCGGCTGAAATGAGCCGGCCTTTGTAAAGGGTCCCTTAGCGTGAACGATTGCGAACTTGAACTGGGTGCCCGTGGAGCTAGTTGACAGGTGGCCTGGTGCGCGCCGCAAAGACGGGGCCTGGGCAAAACCTCGGCAATGATGAGCCGGCCTTGTAGGTAGAGGAACATTGAACGTGGCCGAATGAAGCTCGGGTACGACGCTGAAGCGTAGTTAGAAGTACTCCTGGTGACAGCCGATGGGATTGCACATCCACGCAAGAAGGCCGTGACGAGGAAGACCGAGGAAGGCCTTGACTGGATGCCCAGGGCGCCCTAACGCAAAAGGAACAGCAACCCAGAGCCGGGTGGCGGTCGGGATGGGCGACCGTGGTCGGAGACCAGCCAGATGCCCCCGCGAGGCCCTTGCCGAACAGCAGGTGGATGACCATTGCCGAACTCGAAGTGCAGTACGGGCCGCTGGGAGGGCGAGGGGGGGCAGCGCCGTGGCGCCGCGGCCGGGGAAGAAGAGGGGGGGGGTGGGAGGGCGAAAAAGCCCGAGGCGACGGGGAGAAAGAAGAGAATGCGTATGGGCGAGAAGCCCACTGAACGGGTGAGAGCAGGGTAACTGGGTAACCTGGTGCACGTAAACACCTGGGCAGGGCGCGGCCCGAGCGGGTAAGGAACAGAGCGCGAGACGACTGGCGCTGGGGGGTCCTGGCGCGGCTTCCTGGAGCTGCGTGACCACAGGGGAACGTCGGCCTCACCGCTGGTCATAGTGTTCCCTCTTGTTGTGTTCCCACGGGTCGCGTTGTGCTGGGGTGGGGCTCGAGATCGGACGGCAACACCGTCAGAGGCTCCCGCGACATGGTCGCCAAGCCCTGGAGACGTTCGCTGGGACAGTTAAGCGGGCGTCATAGCGCATACTGTCCTCAGAGGCGGCGTTTCTCCCGGACTGGATGTGCGTATGTGTGTGCGTGCCGCCCAGCAGGGCAGCGATCCTCAGGCATGCGCTAGATTGCCACCAGTCCTTTGACGAGTGGACCGAGTGCCTGCGCTGCATCAAGCCCGGCATGGGCTGCAAGGATGCGCCCAAAGCTTTCTCCATTCAGCTCGCTTGGGTCAAGCGTCCACCAGAGTGCGACGCCAAGCTGACGAGGTGGGGCCAGGAACCCGAGGTCAAGCACGAGACGTCCAGTACTCATAGTGCTGGCGGCTCGGAGGTATTGCCCATGCAGTCCAAGCACGTTGACGATCTGAAGATCGCTAGACGCAAGGAGCACGTCGACCGGCTGATCGGCCACATCGAGGGAGTTTCTGGCAAGATGATGGGTGATTGCGACGAGGTCACCAAGTGCGGGGTGCACAAGCACCGCAGTGCCGATGGTGCAGTGACGCTCGACCAGGACGAGTACATTGACGCTTTGATCCTTATCAGGCACGTCGACCTGGTCAAGGCGAAGGCCGACGAGCCGGCCAGTTGTCCACTTCCAGACCTCTGTGTCTCTCTCTCCTCGGAGTAGCAGCAGCAGTAGCATGCGCGCTGTTCGCGCACCGCCACGACGCTGTGTACGTCGTCGCGTTGCAGGGGGCCGAGAACAAGCTGCTCATCAGGCACGTGATGCAGCTGAACGCTGCGGTTCTGGCCATGCAGAAGACCAAGGCCGTTCTGGCGCGCGAGGTGCCGTATGCATGGGTCTGGGCAAGTGTCGCCGTACCGAGAAGGAGGTCTACCACCTGCTCGGCGCGGTGAGCCGATCACGCAAATCTGCGTGTCGATCCTCATTCGGCTCGGAACTGCTTGCCGCCTGCGCAGCAGCTGACGAACTTCAGGCCTGCTTCCTGACCCTCCACGAGATGGTGCGTGGACCTGTCCCAGCCGAAGAGATCAGAAGGCTGAGGGAGAAAGGTGGCTTTGTCGTGCCAGCCGAGTTAGTGGTCGACGGCATGTCCATGCTCTCTGCCCTGGCCATGGACTCTGTTCACCGCCATCTGAGGACAGCATGGGCGGGCACTTCTGGTGGCTGTCAGATCAGCTAGGCACCAAGCAGGTCAACGACAGCCCGTGGTGCGACAATAGAGACAGGCGCGCCGACCCCATGACGAAAGTAAGCATCGGCCGCGACCTGATTTGCAGCGTGATGGACAGCCAACTCAGCTACGACCACCAACTCGTCGAGCTGAGCGAAGAGAAGCTGAAGAAAGCCGTGCCCAGCTCACAACATCGCAGCCTTACCAAGACGGAGAGCAACGACGCTACGGGTTCAACTTTTTGGCGTCGCATCTCGCGGACTATGTTCGCAAACTCGATATCCGAATGGCAGATCATGGGGGAGATAAGTAAATAACGAAGCGTGCAAGTGATAGGCTGGCGGCACTCACTATGTTGGTGCGGCAGCGGGTGGCGGGAAGGTGATCACGCCAGCGAGTGAGGGCTTGCGCCACCCAGTAGTCTGCTGCCTGGAATTCCCGCAATTTTTATGAGGGGCGTGGTCAATATAATGTCCTCTCAGTTTAGTGCACCTTTGGCTTCGTGGGTTTGGGCGCGGTTCGCGTACCCAAGCCGGCGAGGCACAGGCAGACTCGTTGGAGCACTAGATTCGAACGGTATCTTGCACATGCTCCCCCCCTCCGAGCGGTATCTCCTTTTCCGCCGCCGTTTGGCTCGGTGGTACGGAATGCGGCCGCCTTCTGTCCCCGTTTGATTCGCGAGTTAGATCACCCGTTGGGTTCTTGTTCGATACCGAGAAGTATTCTTCATCTGCACATCCCCTCCTCCTCCTCCTCCTCCTCCTCCTCCTCCTCCTCCTCCTCCTCTCCCTTCCTCTTCCTCACCTCTCCTCCTCCTCATCCTCCTCTTCCTCCCCCTCCTCCCCGTCCTCTTCCTCCTCCTCTTCCTCCCCCTCCTCCCCGTCCTCCTCCTCCTCTTCTTTTCGACGCTTCGGTCAACGAGTGTGATTCACGCCGTTGGCCGGCAACGAGTGCCGAGCATCCGGATTTGCGAACGAGCGGCACCGGCAGGTATCATCCTTTCGCGGAGAGGGGGCTGCGCTTTTGGGGCTCTTCAATGGTGCCTCGGGCCTGAGGTCCATTCTTTTGCTTCGTCCCGTTTTCTGCCGCTGGGATTGTATATAATGCTCCAGCGTGGTCGTTCTGTTCGTCAGCGCGCGCGCGTCTTGCCGCTCGTACAGAACACTAGCCTGTTTGGATTACTTTAGGCATGTAACTGTTTCTTTCAGGTTGTTTGTTTGGCTGGTGCTTATACATGTGTACATATGTGTATGTATATGTTTATGTATATGTTTATGTTTATGTATGTGTATGTGTTTATGTCTATGTAAATGTATCGGTATAGTTATAAGTATATGTACGTGCATTTATGTATGTATATATATATATATATATATATATATATATATATTCATGTATATCAGATAACTGCACAGGCGCCGTGCGCCATGCACCTGGGTACTTTTGAGTTTCGGCCGCAAGCGGCGTGCACTTTCGTCCTTGATGCGCGCTGGTGTGCACGCGCACGTGCGTGGACGTTATGCGTATGTTCCCCAATCAAAGCTTGCCTCTGTAGGGGGTCCTAGCTGATTCATATGGTTGGGTGAGGTATGGCGCCGATTTCGGCGGCACGTCCGGGTGCCCGATAGCCCTATAGCCCTAGAACCCTATAGTCTTATAGCCTTATAGCCCTACAGCCCTATAGCCCTATAACCCTATAGCCCTATAGCCCTACATCCCTATAGCCCTAGTAGGCCTGTAGTCCTATAGCCCATATAGCTCTATAGCCCTACAGCCTTACAGCCCTATAGCCCTAGACTACTGCTCTTTTGCCCTATAGCCTTATAGCCTTGTAGCCCTATAGCTCTGTAGCCCTATAGCCCTGTAGCCCAATAGCCCTGTAGCCCCGTAGCCCTACAGCCCTATAGTCCTATAGCTCCATAGCCCTGTACCCTTAACAAGAATATGATTAGGGGTATTCTCCAGTACCATATGTATGTATGTATGCCTGCCTGCCTGCCTGCATGCATGCGTGTGTGTATGCATGTATGTATGTATGTATGTATGTATGTATGTATGTAGGTAGGTAGGTAGGTAGGTAGGTAGGTATGTATATGCATATATGTGTATGTGCGTATATATGATCCCGGCTCCCGGTCCGGCGGCCCCACCCCCCCAGATGGGATGGGTCCCAGGACTCGGCGGGACCCCCCCCCAAGATGGGATGGGGGGGGCGACGTCGCCGCCGCCGTCGTCGTCGCCGTGGTCGTCGCCGTCGTTGTCGTCGTCGCCGACGTCGTCGTCGCCGTCGTCGTTGCCGTCGTCGTCGCCGTCGTCGTCCCTCCTTCTCCCCCCTCCCTCCTCTCCCCTCGCCCCCACATATCTCCCTTGCTCCACCCCCCCTCTCTCACGCCCTCTGGAACGAAGAGGCGGGAAGGGAGGCAGAGGCAGACGACGACGGCGGCGAAGATGCCGACGACGACGATGACGATTTTTCTCAGACCGCCGACATAACCTCGGAACGCGCCCCCACCACCCCACACCCACGGGCCACAGGCCACACCACACCCAAAGGGGTGGGGGCAGGCCCATCGGGGGGGGGTGGCCCAAAACCATCAGCATGGTTTGGAGGGGGGGGCCCGGGACCTGGATCATACATGTCTGCGTGTGCATGTGTATATGAATGCACGTGCACACACGCATATTCCTATTCACATGTTTTTATAGGGCCGGGGACCCCAGAAAGAGCGCCCCCCCAAACGAATTTCGAATCCTCGGGCCTGTCTTGCGTCTCTCTGCGGCCACCTGGGGTCATCTTTACGCCCCCCGAGCCAACCGGAAGCGAAGAAGCGAAAAGGCCGAAAACATTGTTTTTTTCATTTGGGTTTCTCTGATTTTCCGATTCTGTAGGCCCTGTTGGGCTAGCTTTGGGCATCTTCGGGGCTTGTTTGGGGACTCATTTGGAGCCGTCCTGGGGCTATCTCGACGCTTCAAGAGCCGATCGTAAGCGAAATGCGATTCGGCCCAAAACATGGATTTTCCCATGGTTTTCATCAATTTTCAAACATGTGGGTCTTCTTGGGCCAGCCTTGGGCCTCTTTGGGGCTCGTCTGGGGGTTCATTTGGAGCCGTCCTGGTCCTATCTTGACGCCTCCCGAGCCGATCGTTCGCGAGAAGGCGAGAAGGCCCAAAACATGGATTTTCCAATGGTTTTCATTGACTTTCAATTCTTTAGGCCTTCTTCGGTCAGCCTTGGGCCTCTGTGGGCCTCGGCTTGCGCCTCTCTGGAGCCATCCTGGGGCTATCTTAACGCCCCCCGAGCCGAACGGAAGCGAGAAGGCGAGAAGGCCGAAAGCATTGTTTCCCCAAACGGTTTTTCAATTGATTTTCGAACCTCCGGGCCCAGTCTGTGCCCTCTGTGGGGCTCGTCTGGGGACTCATCTGGAGCCGTCCTGGGCCTATCTTGATGCTTCAAGAGCGCCAATCGGAAGCGACAAGGCGATAAGACCCACAGCATTGATTTTCCAATGTGAATTTTTACACATTGTTCATTCCTTGGGCCCTCTTCGGCCAGCCTTGGGCCTCTGTGGGCCTCGGCGTGCGCCTCTCGGAGGCCATCCTGGGGTCATCTTGACGCCTTTCGAGCCAACTGGAAGCGAAAAGGCGAGAAGGCCGAAAACATTGCTGTTCTATTGGGTTTTCTCTGATTTCCGACTCTCCCGGCCCTGTTGGGCCAGCCTTGGGCCTTTTCGGAGCTCGTCTGGGGACTCATTTGGAGCTGTCCTGGGGCTATCTTGACGCCTCAAGAGCCGATCGTAAGCGAAATACGAGAAGGCCAAAAACATTGATTTTCCCATGGATTTTCATTGATGTTTTATTTTTGGGACTTTCTTGGGCCAGCCTTGAGCCTCTTTGGGGCTCGTCTGGGGACTCACTTGGAGCCGTCCTGGGGCTATCTTGACGCCTCCCGAGCCGACTGGAAGCGAAAAGGTACCCGGGCACCCGGGCACCCGGGCGGGCCGCAGAAATCGGCGGCAAAGCTCACCTAACCATATGAATCCGCTAGGACCCCTACAGAGGCAAGCTCTGATTGGGGAACATACATGTGTGCACACGGAGACGTATACAATCACGCACGATACATATGCATGCGCTCTCATCGTCTGACGTCATAGATACAGCAAAATGCACATACACACATTCCTATTCTTCCATTTTGATAAGGCCAGGTACCCCAGAAAAAGCGTTCCCCCCCTTGAGAATTTGCCCCACCCCAGGCCTCTCGGGCAACCCTCCAGACGACCCGGGAAAACCCCACGAGAGCCCGAAGACGGCCCCAGAGGGCTCCAGGCGTTCCAGCGTGCTCCCGAAACGACCCCAGGCAGCCCCAAGACGGTCCACGACGACCTCGAAGAAGCTGTCATACCCCCAAAGATCGTTTCAAAACGTCCGAGCATTCTCAAGAAGGCCCCAAGAGGCACACTTCATTGATTTTCTGGCGGTTCTTGGTGAATTTTGGGGTACTCCTCTTTTCGGCTTCCCGACACTTCAAGACGGCGGTCTTCTGGGCGTCCGAAGCCGCCTGGGAGGCTCGAAAATCGCCCCACAACCATCCGAAAGGCTCCCAGGCAGTCCAAGAGAGCCCCAAGACGGCACAACAGGGTTTCAAGATGGCCTAAGAGACCCCCATGACGGCCCAAGATGGCCCCAAGACGCCCTCCGAAGCATTCCAAATCGTGACCCGGTCGTTCAGGGAGACCGCGGTTGGAGGCAGGGTGGCCCGAGGAAGCACCCAGAGGCCCCCAGAAGATGCCCAGGAGGCCTCCAGAAGGCCTTAAGAAAGCTTGAACAACTTTTGTGAGGCCCCCAGAGGCTCTCCAAGGAGGAGCCTCCGCAAAAAGAGCTGAGGAGGATGGGGAGACTACGCAGGGTATGGCGAGAATGAGGAAAAAGAAACACGGAGGAATGATAACGAATGACATTGTTGTAACGGCGACGCCGGAAAAGGCAACAAGAAGTTATCGCTGAGTTGTCAGTTTGACCTTCCTGCCATTCCACCTGCATACCAAACTCCAAGGACCAATATGCATGGCGCGAAGCGCCAATACGGTTGTGCATATATTCACACACACACACACACACTTATGTGAACGTCGAATAATGTGCGCGCATGTGTGCACCGCGTCTACTTGTATATGTCTACGCGTGCACAGACGCTTGTAGGTATACACGTGTACATGTGTGTGCACGCGCCTGCGCGCGCAGGGCCTCTGGGGAAGGTGGTGCAGTCCCACAACGGCTTGGGCCCGTGTTGGGGCGCGTATTGGCTGTGTTGGGCTGTTTTGGGGTCATGATCGGGCTTGCGACCCGTTTTCGAACTGCTGTGGGCTCCTTGTGGGATCGTGTGGGGCTCTTGGAAACTCTTTGGGCCTCCTGGGGCCTCTGGGGACTCTTGGGGGCCTCGTGGGAGCCTCATGGGGCCCCCAGTGGCCCTCTCGGGAATGTTTGGAGGCCCTGCTGGGCCGGCTCAGGGCCCTCGTGAAGTCTGTCGGGCCGTATTGGGGCAATCTGGGGGGGCTTCGTGAGCCTTTGAGGAGCCTCGGGAAGCGGAAAAGGAGAGAACCCTGAAAGGCACCAGGAAAGCTATAGAGAATCAACGAATTGTGCCCCTTAGGGCTTTCTTGAGAGTGCTCTTGGAGGCCTCGTGGGACGTTTTGGAGCGATCTTTGGGTG